CAAATGTACAATGTTTTGACTTGATGATGACAAAACCTTGTCGAAACATTGTACATTTGCTGTTACGTTAAACTTATATTAAAGTTTTTCTTCATTACCCATTCAAACCGTCTCAGCATTATATCCTTATTTAGCAAATCAAAGATAAACATGTCAAATTTTAAATACAAAATAAAAATGAACCAATATAGTAATTAATAGAAAATTAATGCAAGATGCCTAAATGTACGTACATGTTTACAAGCAACTGCACATAGAAAAATACTGAATCATATTGATTAAAACACTTGTAATTGTAATGCACTGATACCATAGGTAAAACCTTTTAAATATATATATATATATATTTATTTAATACATGTTTGAAGCCCCTCACCCACATGTGATCCCTTCTTACTTGCTTCTCATCATTGATAGTTGTCCTTGTAGTTGCTGGAACATTAAGGAATGTCTCCTCAATCAATATAGAACTTTCCATGACAAGTTTCTCAGAGATTTTGGCACAAAAAAATTGAAAACACAAACCAATGATTATTTAAAAACAAGATAGGAAAGTTGGTCCATAACTTGATCTTAAATATCAAAGGTCTGGATTGAAAATGTATGGTTAGTGAAATCTAATTGGTTTGTGTAATATCCAAATTATCTTGGTCAAGTAACACTTCTATGAAGGTTAACGTGCTCATGCTACTAATCTCCTATAGAATATGTATCCCTGGTGCCCATGGACTACTCATTCCACAGGCCTCATTGGGTCTCTGCTTGACCAATACATATTTTAGCTGTGCTGTCCTCTATTGCTATTCTCACGATAATGAATGGAATATTCACTATAAACCAGGCCCTCCACACGCACATTTCCTTTCTTCTGGAACCTTTCACTTGTAAGTTTTGTACAGCAATGGTGTGAATTACAAAGATTCACCATGTGTATGTTAATTTCCACTTCACCCTGGTACACTTACAACTTGTATTTTCATGTATCTTAAAGTGCTTCCTGTACTGAAACGATTTTAAGAAAATACTTAGAACACTATGTGCTTTTACAAATATCTCGGACTGCATGATTAAAAACGTTTTATCACAATCAAATTAATTATGACATTTAAGCTACTGTCTGAATTTCATATACAACTGGTAATTTTGTCTACTCAAGCATTTCAATTCCATCCAATCAAAATATTTTGCACTACTCTTACAGTAAAACCACAAGTAACTGTTTTCTCTCAAATGTAACGTGGGTTTCTTTGTTACTCTTATCCTTCCATGAATATTCACTGTCTGTCAAATATTTCATTGTTAAAATTAAAACATTCTTTCTTCACTATTAATGAAAGTAACAGGTGCATTGTATCTTCAAATAATACGTTGTTGTCTGTAATCACAGTTAATGTCATGTCATGAAGTCTTAACATCCAAATAAAATCCTTTGTTTCCATTCACATATGGCTTAATAATTTTGTTTATTATGTAATTGATTTGTTCATATTGTACAACTCTCATGAATTATTTCATGTAATGTTCATACGCATGTGACACATGCTCTTAGTTCTACATGTTTATTACTATGTACATTTATGTCCATTACGTGTTGTTACATAAGCTAATAATTTTCAACAGATTGTCTCTGGCTCCCACACAAATTGTAGTTTAATTGTCTCGGGCTACTTTCCAAAGCTGCTGTTGGGAGTTAACATTTACTAACGTGCATCACAAAATAAGTAATAACTGACTGAGCTAAAATTTCTCGTAAATGAGGATTAATTTTTCGTGCTGTTACTACAGTACATAACAGTATAAACTCAAACGAAACTCTACTCCTTCATTGCATGTGGAGAGGTTCTATGTTTTCTTTTTAGGTTTACCAGCAAGAAAGATCTATTAGACCAACGGACAATCCATACTTCAGATGACTAATTGGTTATCATACAATGTAGTATCAATGCTGTTGCTTATAATACCATCCAATAGTTCAGAAAGCAAGGGTTGCAACACCATTTCGGCTAAGTTTTTGAACTCGATCTGTCCTCTACAATTGTGAAAATTAGTGATGCAATAGGCATAATATATACCAGCACCATCCATCCTAGCTTTGTGCTAATCAACTGGAAATTGCAAAGTATGGCACATACATTGTATATAGTGAATATCAACTGATAGATTGGAAAGAAAGGGATGCCTCTTCCTTTCAAATCACTAAGTGATATACTTAATGACTGACTTTTCTTATGATACAAGTGGCAACTGCACTATGTGGTACATACATGGTGTCTTATTTCACCACTCAGAGGCTCAGAAAGCAAGGGCTGTGTTGCATGTTTGCTGCTGGCACATACCAAAGCCACACCCAGTTTCCATTTTGGTGCATCTGTTCTATTACCATCTTATTGTAGCACCTCTTCTGATTTATAGCAGCCTTTCCTAACTGTTGACATGTACACTCATGTATCACCTAATGTGGACATTAACCACTCCACATATTTGTATGGAGACTGTGGGACATCTGCTCTAGATGAAGGACATACATCACATCTACAGTAAATAAAACTTCTTAACCAAACATCAGCATCTTCAGCAAACAACCTGTTGATCACTGTTTAGTTGCACAATAGTTGGTCCAGTCCAGTTTACAAACTCATCAAGCATGAACTTGACAGTCTGTATCATCTTTTCTTCTACTCCATTAGAGCAGGAATGATTAGTTGAAGCATGCATTTTCACCACACCAAACACTTTAACAATTAAGAGAACAGTTGGGTGTTAAGTTAGCTCCCTGATCCACGTGGATCTCATCAGGTACTCTGAACTGAGTTATCCAGTGCTCTACCAGTGCATAAAGTATGATCTATGTAGACATACTGACCATTGGATAATCTTCAGCCCACTTTGTGAAGTAGTCAAAGACCATGTGTTTAGAGAGGTGACCTCTGTCTGTCTTTAGGAGTCAAAGAGTGATATCCAGGGTTATTCTCTGTAGAGAAGAACCACATTTCTTTGCTGGAGTTTACCCTTTTTAGATTGACTTTTTCTCTGGGTGGCACATCCTGTGCTGTATTCACACTGGCACAAGTTTCTCGACTTGAATATAACCAGAAAAAGCACTATCGAGCATTAGCACACATAGCCATATCACCTTGGTGCTCTCTAGTCTTTGAATTATGCAAAGTCTGGAGAATCTCATGTCTCAAAGCCTTGTGAACCTCTTATTGTAACACAGACTGAAAAACTACTGGTTGGTGGTTGACAGCAACAGTAAAGCACACCTTTTGCACTTATAACTGATCATGAAAGGGCCACAAGATAAGTGCATCCATTCTATGTTCCTCCATCTGAGCCAGATGCCCTCTACCTTACTGAATGGCAAGGAGTACCCATGCTAGATCTGAATACTTCAGTTACTCTTTCCAGATCTCCTGGAGCATTAATCATTGCATCCATCCACTAATGGAATCCCCTACAGTATGGCTTATTGTCCCTGTAGCAGAAATTGTCTTAACTCTAACATGGTGTCCAGAATGATGACATTCAATGAATGAATAGGGTCTTACAATCTGGCAAGACACTCTGTCAGCCTTTCTGCTTTGTAGGTGATAATGCATGATTAAATCATATTCCTGTAATGATGTTATTCATCATATCATCCATTCAAGGTTTTTGAAGACAACTGCAAGCAATTCTTTCTTCATTGTAGTGTAGCTGAATTCAGGAACTGTAAGCATACAACTTGAGTATATGATTAAATATTCATCTCTGTCCTACAACTGTGATAACACTGCTCTGATGTCAGAAACACTGACACTAGTGTCTAACAGAAATTCACAATCCTGTTGTAAATATACCAGCACTGGAGCCTTTACGAAAGCTTTACAGATTGGAATGCCTGTTCACATTCCTTGCTTCATTTAAAGTGTATGTCAGTTTTAGTGAGAGCAAACAATAATACTGATATTTTGAACAAGCTGGTCATGAAACATTGATATATGATACAAAATGTAAATTTCTTATTTCATCACAGGTTGGGTCCAGTCTCTCACCACTGCTATGTTATCAGGAGCTGTAAGACTACCTTCAGTATGACTGAAAAATTCCACTTTTGTTTAATAAACACAAATTTTCTGGGTTTTAATTACAAGCCTGCATTTTTTTTATCCGCTGGAATACGCATTTCAAGTTTGTATTCTTATGTCTGCTCTAATCATACAATTTGGCTTTCCCAGTATCTGGATGCTAGGTCTAAAGTACTGAACTAATGGGCCCCTTATAATGCATCTAGACATTCATCAGTTTGTTGTAATGGAAAGACATCAACATAAGTTTCTGTGTTTACCTGTCTAAGATCGGTGCATTAATGTTGAGTGTGATGCGTAATACATCGAATTTAGGTCAAGTTATAAAAGGATACAAAGAAAAACATTTTATTTCAGGTTCAAGAAGCTAGTTCACACATGTGATCACTACTGAATTATAAAAATAGAAATTATTAGGTTTATGTTGTTTAATAATTAATTAAAAATATCAATTTAAGACTTTAAATACTTATGGCAGACATTTGTAATGGTTATCTCTTGAGTTTTGTTGCAGGAGTGTAATATTTTAAATTGCAGATGTTATGTTTAGAAAATAGAGATTAATATATTAAATCATATATTTAAATTCTATGTTTCTTTTAACTCCAGATTTTTAGTACCATCTTCATCTACGTACTGTTAAATTTCTGGAGTTGTAGCTTGGCTATGATTTACAGCATTAATCCACAATCAAATGCTCCATGCAGTACAGTGTCATTACCAAGTTTATAATTTAACTATCCAACATTTGTCTGAAATATATCTGTGTATTTTGAGATTTGAAAAATTATGCTAATGGTGACAAAGCTAGCATTGCTATATTTTCAATTTTTCATGTGTGTGTGAATTTAATAATTGTTGTGTTGTATGGTAAACTCATTTTCCTGTTTAACTCTTAAATATTGATTATGATTATTGAATTGTGTGGTTAGAAATACCCAGTTTGTTTCTAAACCAAAATAGTGACCCATTATATTTCTCACAGATATAAATGTATCAGTTAGACCTGTTTGAAGTGAAAAAAGCATGATGACAAATAGCCCTTAAAAATTAGTTTTACACAAATAATACTTATGTTTGGTGGGATAACCTCTCACACAAGCATTAATTTTGAAAGACAACTTGTAGGATGATTTTATGATGAGCATTAATTTCAGAAAAGTGTATATCCATCACTAGGTAGGTGTATTTTATGTGTAACAAGATTTTAAGTGTCATATAGATAGTCCAGTATGGTCACGAAAACATTTTCATGTGAATGGAAGTTTGAAAACTATTTTCAATGTGTTTTGTTTTAAACTTATAAAATCTGTTAAAAAGAAACTTTGGGTGTGTTGAGATATTTTGATTGTGTTTGTGAAATGTAAACTGATAATTTTAATTACTCACCTTATTATGTGCTTTATAATGATTTTCTGTGTCCCTCTTTTCCGTAGCTTATAATTATAAGGTTGGTTTTAGAAATCTACTGAAGATTATAATTAATGCAATATATTAGATTTATGTTAACTTGTATAGATGTTAATTTTATAGACTTTGCTGTTGAAAAAAAATTTTGGATTTCGTTCTTCTTTTCTTCCAGAATCCAGCTGATAAATCAAATATTGGACCTATCAGTTACTACCCCTCCCAAGGCATTCCAAACTACTATTTTCCTTTTACCAACCAGCCCAATTATCTGACCCCTTTTGTCTTTGTCCACTTCCAGAATCCCACCATCAGTGTACTGATCAACATTGAGTGTAAAGCCTGGGCTGCTAACATCAAGTACAATAAAAAGGAACGACTGGGAAGCGTTCACTTTGAATTACTGGTGGACTAGCTTCTAGCAATATTAATTATATAGCCTAGACATTTTGATTTTGCATAACATATTTCTCTCCAAACAATTTTTTGTTTTAATTTTCTGAATTTCATTCAAACATTTTTTTTTTGTTGATTTTTTGTGTTATATGTATATTTGTAGGTTTCCTCTTTCTTAGAAAATGTCATCCAGTATATTCACTTTTAAGCAGGAAGAATTGAACACTTTCTGTTTGTTTGTTTTTTTTATTATAAGTTCCTACTGTCAGTTTTAGAAAAAAATTAATTGAAATAGCTCTAGTATGTGAACAGTTAATAAACTGCTGGTCTGTTCATGCTTGAGAAAAGGAACATCAGAATTACATCATATCCAAAAATAAACAGTAGCAATAAATCTAATAAACTGACTTTTTACCATTTTCTTGTTGCATTGAAACCAAATTCCGACATTGTGTTTATCTTGTTTTACAGAATAGTTTACATATAGCTAACTGTTATACAAGTCTTATTAAAAGCAAAGTAGAATACAAATTGTATATAGATTAAATAAAATGTAATTCTGCCGACATCACTAAATGTTTGGCACTGGATAACTAATTTGTTTTATTCATTTTTTTTAAAAGAGAAGAAAGGAATGGTTTTTAACTAGTAGTTAATTTTCTGAATGATATTAGTTATGTATTGGAAGACTTATACTTATAGCTAAAAGTTGTTCTCCGTGTCTAAAATATAGAGGTAGAGCATTTAAAACATGCTTGCCATTTTCTTAAAGAAACCAGGAAATAATATAAGGCTTATAATACCATTCCACCATCTATGTATGATTAAATAAAAGTGTTATTTAAATCTTTCCTCGTATAGTACAGTACATGTATAGTTGTCCAACTTCAGAAATTAGACTGTATAAGTATCAATCAACTGTTATATATGTGTATAGTTAGATAGATATAGATATGAATAAGTGTCAAGCTTGTTTCTGTACAGGCAGGAATTCACTCCCTTTCTATGGACTCAACGATATTACTTAGTAACTTGTTATTTTTGTGAGGTCATGTTTTATATGAAAAGTAGATATTTGGTTTTTGTATAAGATTGAAAAATCAAAGTTAAATCAGAAACGTACAATCCAACACAAAGGTCTATACATTTATACCAATATTACATTTGGAAAATTGTCCTGAAGACTAACTGAAGAATGGTTGGACCTCTTAAAAAAAAATGGAAAACTGGGCTATAGATTTTTGATCATGATCATGATTTTAATATCACATATGTAATTGTTTAAAGATAAATAATTTTCGTGTATTAGTATCTAGTCTTATGGATTTTATTAAACATTATGGTGTTTTATGTCAGTGTTTCATCTTAATTGTTAATTGTATAGTTTAATTGTGTGTGTAGGTATAACATTCAAAGATACAATCTGCAAAAACAAGTACCAAAATGACTGTTTAGGTGCTACACATTACTTCTTAAACTAAGAAAACAAAACTAACAGTGCACAAGTCTATACATATAAGCTATATTCTTACATTAGTTTAAATATGTGAAGTTCCACCTCCAAGTCTCTCTTATAAGAATTTCCAAGTTAAGTTGAATTATCTACAACTGATCACTAAATGATTGATCTCTTCCTCCATTCAAGACAGTGATAATTTTGTTGTTAATGATAATCAGGTGAAGATCTTAAATAACACATGATGTTTTTAAACGTAAATAACTGTCTGCATTGATCTTCCATGAAACACTCATTCAAAATGAATTTTGAGTATGACAAACCTCTATTTTCTTTCACCAAAAATCATAATCTGGAGTTGTTCAGTTTTATGAGCTTAATGAAGCAATTACATTTTTTTAACTTTGGAATTTTATACATTGTCAAACAACTCACATTAGGTAAGTTAACGAGTTGAGTTTTGAAATTTATTAACCCTCATCAGCCCAAGTCAATGGGAATGAAGTGTTAAATGGGTATAGTAACAAAAAACAAATTACACTAGATAGATTTCCTTTTCCTAAAATCTTGTAATGCTCCACTAAATGACGTTTCTTGTCATCCATCTGGACTAATGAGAGCTAATACAACTTGTAACTGCAGCTGCATGGTTAGGGTAGGTGTTTTGCTACTTAAAGTAAGTTAGTATGTATTACTTGTAGCACGTGATAAGTCAACCAAGTTTTACTGGAGGCCTTACCTTGTGAAATTGAATATATAAACTACTGAGTAGTATTACTGGATGTCAAAATTTGTAAAACCTCAGCAGTGTTAATTGTTTTTAGAAGGTAAACTACAATCACTAGCAACCTTCCCCCTATTAAAATCTCCCCATGGTTGCAGAGCAGTGCTTCTGAGGGCTTATAATACATTGTGTGGCTTTGTGCTTAACAACAAACAAACTCAATTAAAAATTGAACTTTTTTATAATATTAACATCTATAATGATGTATTTGCTATAGGAAATGTATCTGTTGTTTCAATAACGTAATCAGCCATTTATATGTATTGTTGTTTTAGATAGGAAGTTTAATTTGGAAAGGCCAGGTAGAATAAACAAATGCATGAATAATAACTTTATGCCCAGGGAGTTAGCAATTAAATTCAGAAAACTTCAGTTAAGACCAGTTTTGTGCTTATGTTTTAGTTTATAAAGTCTTGTAATGCATTCAACAACTCGCAAATGCTGAAGATTAATGAAGAAATATTGGGCTATAATTAAATATTCAAACTCTAACATAGTAAGAAATCAGTGTGTTGCTCTCTTTATACATAGAGCATAAACTTGCAAAAGTGCAGTGGATGATTATAAATACTGAGCTTTTATTTTAAATAGAAACTAATAATATAAAAAAATATGCTATCATATTTTACCACTTTTAAATATGCAATCTCAACATGAGTATTTTGCAACTCATCACCTACCTTAACACTCGATGATGCTTTCAATAAACAATTTAGTAAAGACAACATTCATAAATGTAGTTTTATCTGTTTTTTCAAGATGTGAAATTACATGAAAACTAATTTCTGCTTCTCTATACTGCAACAGTGCATCAACAGAAAATACAGTCATAATGGAAAGGCTGTATTAGTACTTTAGAATACTGAGAGCTTAGATTGTGCAAAGTTATGGGTGAAATGAGCAACTTTATGATCTGGAATAATATGTTTACTCTGGAGGTCATATAAGCTACAGATATATATATATATTAAATTTCCAGGTGTATTTATAAATTGTGATATTACAAAATACTTCTGGAAGTTATATGTATATTATACACAACTAGAACATCTGATGTACTCATTTATTCCTTTCGCTACGACATATTTAAATGTTTTTCGCAGTTAAACTCAGATTGTATGGATTATAGTTCTGAAATTTCAAATGCTGAATAAATGTCATTTTGTAAAACAGTTTCCTTATTAATAAAACTTGAAACTATACCAGGATCTTTGATTTATCCGAATAAGTGAATTGCAGTTGCAGAAGTGTTATTGTATATTAATATACTATGCATATATTTGTTCTGTATATGTCTAGATTTCACATGATATGTAGTTGAGAAAGTCGTTAAGTTTATTTTGTTTTAGCTACCTTTGCTCCTTTGTTATTCTCGAGTGGATAATACCTGTTCTGACTGAGAGAAGAATATTGTTGAGATATTGCACATTGTGCTAAGATGTCGACAGCAGTATCCTTCAATGGTCGTTCAGGTGATATTTAGAGGTTACGGCCTCACTTATGTTGTAATGAGAGCGGCTACTTACATGAGTAGTGCTAGTCACTCTAGGTAAATGCAATATTTCTTGTGAACTAAGGAACATTGGATTTAGTCGTCTGGAACAGGATCTTGAAAGAGAAACAGTTTAAAGGGAGAATCTAGAAAAAGCATCAGACTGTCGTTCCAGAAAACTAGAATACACACTATTGTGTTAAGTCTGTTGTAATAAAGATTGTGCATTTTGTAATTCACTTTGTTTCCAGTCTCATTATTCCATTCAACATCATGACTCGGTTACTCAGAGACTTAGCATTATTTCGTAATAATCGCTATCTTGATTAAATCTCCTGTTCTGTATCCAGAAGTCTCAGCCTTTAACTTCTTCTTAGGAGGGTTCTAAAACTGAGTTCAAATGAGAGAAAATATATTTCTACTTTAGGTTACAACAAGTCACATGCCCCCCTCTTCAGTGGCTCAGCAGAAAGTCAAAGGCTTATAACGCTAAACATCGAGTTTCGATACCTGTGGTGGGTACAGCACAGATGGCCCATTGTGTTGCTTTGAGCGTAAGAAGAAACAAAAACAAGTCACTAGAAACTGACTTAGAGAAGGAAATTAGCAAGTTAAGAAGAAGGGGCAGTATGTAAAAAACCAAGTATATATATATATATATAAAAGTCAATATCGTATTGTGATGATAAAATCGTTTTATGATATGGTAACAAGTATAAAATATATTTGAAGTTTGCAATATATATGTCTGTCTGTGATCTTTATCGGAGTTTAAGTCTTATAGACCTGGGAGTGTAAGGAGTATTTGACTTTTTCCTCCCCACCCCCTGATAGATGGTAACTGGTTTCTGGAGAATATTATTCTAATTACTATATATGTGGGACACTCTTAACCCTTTCAGGGCAATGTCCATATACGTAATTGCAGTAATATTCATGAGAATAAACACATTTTCTCTCTATTCGTTATTGCTAAAGTTTTGCGTGTGGCGAACAGTTCCATATGTGTATTCACATTTTCATTAGTTCTACTTACTCCTCGAGAACATTACACACAAATAGTAATTCTTGTCGTAGCAGCTTAAAACTAATGTCAGCCTTATTAAGTGCTTATTTCTAATGTACATATTAATAGGTTAAAGGTACTTTGGTCTATCTTCACTATGTATGCAGAAGCTATCTAATTCGCATAGTAGGTCATTTTTATGCCAGTTTTGCACGAAATAATTTTAATGAATTATGTAAGAGTCTATCGGAGAATGTTTGTAAGTTGACATAAATTCTGATGAAGTGGTTCTGGGTACTTTGCGTGTTGTAGTTAGTAATGAGTTTTGTATTTTTTGTAATTTGTTAATATGTTTTGGTTTTATATTTATCCATGCTGAGCATGCATATTCAATTACTGATCTTATATATGTTTTGAAGATTCTTATTATGTTGTCTGCTGAAGTTGCGTAGTTCTTACCCATTAGACTCTTAACATAACTTGTGCGTTGCCAAACCTTTTTGAGAATGTTATTATTGTGGTTTGCCCACGTTAATTTAGAATCATAAGTTAAACCTAGAAATATGGCTGAAGTTGCTGTCTGGAGAAGTGTTCCATTCATATATAATTTAGGTGGACCTTTGTGTTTTATTTGTTTTGTAAATACTGCCAGTTGATTTTTCGGGACGTTTATCTTAATTCTGTATTTTTTGGCAATATTCCTCAATATTGCTTAATTGGGGCCGTAAATTTGTTGCTGCTATTAATGGTGTGGGCGCATTTTTCTGCAACATCATCAGCAAATTTTGAGGAATATCCTTGATTTGGATCTTTTAGGGGGATATTGCTAACGTACATGATGATTAGGATAGGGCTAACCACACCTCCTTGAGGAACACCTGCTTCTGGGGTAAATGACTCCGAGAAAGTTCCTTCCATGTTAACTTAAAATTTCTGTTTTCCAGAAAGATAGATAACCAGCGAATAATTCCGCGCGGTAGTCCCATTTCTGACATACGGAACCTTTAGACAATTATGCTCAATATCGAGAAAGCATTCTTTCCTATTAAAACTATCTATGATTGATTCTGTTAGTCTAACTAAGTGGTCTGTAGTTTGTCTGATTTTTCTAAATCCATTTTGAGTTTCTGGCAATTTTGAAGTCGTTTCCAAGAATGTGAAGAGTCTATTTCTAATTATACG